TATATGTCTGGGTTGATCCCGCCCAACAGAGGGTGTGTCTTAACAGGCGCTTGTTTGCCCGTGCTTGCCCGTGTTTGCCCGTTTTTTGTTGAAGAAATTAAAAAAACATTTTGGACACGTGGGCAGCTGTACAAACTGCTTACACACTCTCTCTCTGCGCTCTGACAGTATTTGTCAGCCATAAATCTAGGGTTACAGTTACAGTATACATCGCGGCATTCCACTGTGTACGAGCCCGTCAACGTGGTCCGCGGTCTTGCTCTCGCCTTGGTGATCTTCTACTCCCGAGCAGTTCTTTCGATCTTTCTGTGTCTGCACCTGCACACATGCTCCAAATTCACACCACCGCCGCCGTCGTAATGATGCAAGCATTTTCTTACGCAAGAAGAGAGCTTTCAATAGCAGTTATTCGCATAATGCGCACCGCTTTACCCAAACCTTATCCACTCTTGCATTTATTCTGCGAACCTTCCTCACTAACAACGCTTCTCACGCCTTCCTTTACTGACTGATTTATTCTAACACTTCACCGACTCTACCGCTCCCAGATCAGCATGCGACACCCAAGCCACAATGATTCCCTTGACCGCCGTCGCCGCGGCCTCGCTCTTAAAGCAATGCTGGCAACATCACTTCTTCTCTCCACTTTGGGTCTACATTACGCAATATCCGAATTTCCGAGGCCCCGCCTGCTGATGAAACCAAAAGGCATGCGTCGTTATTGGAATTTTTCTAGAGCAAATCGTATGTTCAGCGATGATGAGTTTGCCCTGGCCTATCGGATGGGGAGGGAAACTTTTCATAAGCTGTTACAACTGGTTAATAATCGTTTATTCAAAAACGAGGAGATGGCAAAGCGTGCTGGACGGGAGACCGTATCACCTGAGGCTCGTCTGGGAATCCTTCTTCGCATTATGGCTGGTGAGTCCGTATACGGATGTATGGCACATTTTGAAGTCGGTAGAAGTACAGTGTATCAAGTTTTCAAAGAGACGCGCGATGTACTGAACGACGCTCTGAGGCTACCTGGACTTCCTGAAGATTTTAATGGTTTGAGGAAGGTTTCAGACGATTTCCAAACTTCCCGTTCCCCCTAACCCTTTTCCCGGCTGTGTTGGTGCATTAGACGGAATAGCGATCAAAATCAGGAAGCCAGCACCGCATGAGCACCCTGCGACGTATTACTGCAGGAAAGGGTTCTATGCTCTCCCGGTGCAAGCGGTTGTGGACTCAAACTATCGCTTCCTAGATTGTTCAGCGATATGCAGGGGTTCTACGCACGACTCTCTTGCTCACGCCGTGTCCGCTTTGGGAAGATATTTGGATGAAGGGAATCTGATGGTGCCATTTTGGATCGCGGGCGACGAAGCGTATGTTTGTTCTAACCATTTAATTGTTCCCATTCCTGGCTCGATTGCTACAGATACAGAAGATGCGTTTAACTTTTATCATTCTTCATTGCGCATACACGTGGAGCAAGCGTTCGGCATTTTAGTCAAGAAATTCAAGATTTTGAAGATGCTTGAATTCTCTGTTGCAGATTCTGCGAAAGTCATTGTTTTGGCGATGAAACTGCATAACTTTTGCGTAGAGCATGGGCAAAAGATAGTTAGTAGAGTGTCTATCAATCAGAAAAGGGTGCTTCAGGAGCACAACATGATCCTACTGAAACGAGGGAATGGTACAGCGAGGGGAAGCATGCATATGTCGATCTGGCTGGGCGAGTGGAGGCTAGCAGCAATACGGATGCTACGCAGAAGAGGAATCTTTTGGTTTCTATCATTAGAGATGGGCGGTTTGTCAGACCTGTGGCTGGGGAGCTTCCAGTCCCGGAATACTTCATGCAATTCGCCTAGCTAACATTCGTTTTCGTTTATGCTTTGGTTTTTTTTCAGTTGCCTCACTTCTTGCCTGGAAGTGAGGGGTGGTGGTGGGACATTTTTCTTTGCGTGAAGAGCTTTGGATTCCGATGCGGTCTCCTTTGTGGCGGCATCGACATGGCCGCCCCCTTCTTCGCCGCCCTGGCCGACTCGCCAGGCTTGGGCACTGACTTGCGCACCGTCGCCCGCCTGTGGCAAGCGATTCTCACAATTGACGACGACGATCTGGAGGACTTGGTTTGCTCCCGCCCGCGACCTCCGTCCATCGCCCACGTATCGTTTCATTTCATCGCCGAATTGGAAGCAGGAGAATCACGCGACATCCGGTGTGTGCCCAGCCGTGAGGGCGGTTCCCGTGCATCCCGAATGAGCTTTCGTGAGGGCGGTTCCCGCGTATCCCGAACGGGCTTTTGTACAAGATGTGGCGGTTGCACCAGGTGTTTCCTCGGCGCGACACATTCCTCCGCCGTCGCCACCACGATCTGGACCTCGCGCTGACCCACTGTCACACGCACCTGCGTAGATGAATCGCGTGACAACACGCTCGCCACAGCCGCCACGCCGGCGCCCTCCTGCACGACGGGCAGCTGACGCGGCGGCGGCGCCGCCGCCTCTACCGGCGCGTAATCCTCGTCGGCGATCTCCGAGCGCCACAGGGCGGCCTGGCGGAGGGTGCGGGCAATCTCGGCGAGAAGGTA